CTTTGTTATTTTTAATTTCTCACATTTATTAAAAAAATCATGAATTTTTTTTTTAATATTCTAGTGCATGTCAAAACAATCTAATAGTCATTGAAAAAAAAAATTCTCACATATACGTTATATTCTTTAAATAAAATTTTTCATATTAATTATCACATATTAATTGTTTTCATATTTGTTTAATAGTTATATATTGTATATATGATATAAATTTAGTCTAATTATTTACACAATAATGTCATTAAAAAGTTTTAATTGCTTTCATTAAAAATTCATTTAAATCTTCTTTGGATGACACCTAGGATTTTCACATAGTGTCTCATGTATTAATATATAGAGGATGTCCAAACTATCATTGCTAGATAGACTTGATGCGAGAAAGAGGAAATAATGACATACATGTAGTTTTCTCTCATTTTACGAACTTTTTCCTCCATTTTTGATCTAATGCTTTTCATCTTGTTTAAACAAAAGGATTCAAGTTCGTAAACATAGTAAAAACATAGACTGTTTTGGCACATGTCACAATTTGGATTTTTTTAAAATTGAAATTTGGGTAACAAATGTGAAGGTTTTGTCATTGGAACATTTGTGATACTATTCTATTTTAAATTACTATTTTACTAGAATTTGACTCACGCCATGCGTGAGATTAAATATTTAAATATGTTTTTTAATTGATCTTAATATTTAGACGTGTATTCTCAATCTTCATAACCATACAAAATAATATGTATTATGCATAAATGTAATAAAGTTAAATTTTGATCAAACATATTTTGATGTCATATGCTTTGATCAATTTTGCATAAATATATTAAAACTAATGCAAATGAAATTTATTTCAATTTATTTGAAATGTAAAATTGATTTTTATTCTTTGTGAAAATTATAGAGAACGCGATAAATCAAATAAATTTTAGAATATGTCAGACATAAAAAATGAAAAATATATGTTTTATAATAATAAAAATTTTAAAAAATTGTAAGCGTAGTTATCATCTACAAATAAATAATATTATTACGAATATAATAATGAAAAATTTCTTAATATATCAATTTTTTTGAATTAATATATGATATGGTAAGTCTAAATATTATATTTAGTTAAACTTAAATCTGTAAAACATATATTAA